TGTTTTTTTTTCGCTCATGAATATGCAGTGGTCAAAAGATAGAAAAAGATTAACTGTTGAGTCAATAAAGGCAATATTGCTTTGCTCACGGGATATAATTTCAAGCATTTGCCATGTATCGAATTTTACAGTGAAATTTCTTTAAAAATAAACTTTTTGAATGCTGTTGTTAGTGGAAAAAGTATAATGTGCAAAAAAATAATAAAATTTAATAATGAGTTTAATTGATATATTGAGTTTTATTTATAGTATATAACCGGGTTTTTACATAAATCAAGATTTTCTATTGCTTGTAACTGGTTATTCGATTTCAAGCCCTATGCGCCATCTATCAATTTTTACTAGGGAGGGTGTATTACACCGGTATAACCGTACGTTCAGTTCTACGCATTTACTTTTTAAATGACACTAAACAATGTTTGGATTCGAGTTATTTTTAACTAAATATTCATTGCGTTGATAATTGAACACTTTCTTTTTGAAAATATGTATGTTTTAGGCAAAGAATGTTTTGTGATATTTATAAAATGTAAGAAATAATCTTTTTATAAAGTATTTTATCAGAAAAAGTATTTAAAAGATACTAAGATACTAAACAAAAGTATTTAAATACAAGATACAAAATACTTCCTAAAAAAAGTATTTTAGATACAAGATGAAAATACGTATTTAGTATCTTGTATCTGTATTTCAAATACTTGTATCTAAGATAAGTCACATCTCTGAGAATCACATAGGAAAACAAACACTAACCTGCCAACAAACGGAAAAGTGGTCATTCTCGACTACATATGCAACCTAGTTCAGTTAGTCGATGTGCACTTAAAAGTATAGAAAAGCTCGAGATGATGAACCAAAGAAAATAAAACATATTTACGACCGGATAAAAGAGCTCTGTCTTTTTACTGTACATTGTGTGATTTGACAATTAACGAGCTAACCGTATAGGCAAAAATGTGTGCATAACAAATTCTTCTTCCATAAAAGTCCATATAGAACAGTTCCTGACAGCTTATTAAATGCAGGAGCTAAATCATGTAATATAACATTCGCACAGGTTGTTGTGCTATGGACAAAATGAGAAAAAACCAGATGTCACAGTGAGGGTCGGCAGCGAGTACACCATCTACGGCGGTGCTCTAATCAACATCACAGATGTCTTTTTCCATACTTTATTTAACCCAAAAACCTTGAATAACAACCTCGCAATCCTTAGGATGGATAATAAAATACGATCTGCAATAAAGATGAGAAGGATTAAGAAAATTTCATACGATAAGAGCAACAAGACTTTGCCAAACAGTATTTTGATGCTGGGGTGGGGGGCTAGAAATGTAAGTATGAATCTATTAAAAGATACTTATAAATGTCACCTATAACTATAACGATTAGTGGGGAGACGAAAGTTTGGACACCAAGTTTGTTACAATGAAAAACACTCGGGTATCTGCACAAAAACTTATATTGTCCTCAAAACAGGTGCCGTTGATGATCAGTGTCATTAATAATTATACGAACGTCAATAAAAATAAAAATCAAATATACAGCAAAATATAAAAAACTATTAAAACATCATCAAACATCCTCTTCTCAAACATACGGTTCTCTATTTGTCAATAACTGTCAATAAAGTTTCTCCTCCTTTTTAGATCGATAATGAGGCGTTTAAATATCAAAAATTATCTTATGCTTACATTGATTTGTATAAATGGGAAAAATGTAGAAATATATATTCCAGGTGAGTACTCACTTTATTATTTTTTACTTTTTAGCACATTTAATAAAAATTATTTACTTTACTTTAATATTTAGTTAATTTATCATGATCTTCACAGCGAACCATTTCATTTGATGCCCATATATGTATATCATGAAAGTGCATTAGATTCAAATTGATGTAGCTTATTAACTAAACTAAACCTGTATACAAAATTTTACAAGACGTTGCAAGTCTAATAAAATATGGTAAAAATGTGTTTACAGTTCATACGTGACTGCAAACAACTTCTGTGCTGGTTCCACTACGACGGGCAGCGGTGCGTGTCTGGTTAGTTATCGCTACGGCTTCCAGGTCATAATATTAACTTACTTCTAGACTAACATACTTCTTGAGTTTTCTCTGTAAGAAGTTCTTACAGAGAAATCCGCATAGGTTTTAGTAGCAAGTTTAGATTGACCCAATGTTTTGCCAATGTATTATTTAAGGTACAATGATAGGCTAAATCCAATTGATACTTCAGTGTATCTTCTTTTTTACTTCTTCCACTTCACACACCAGCCAAAATCATAACCCTCCTTTTCGCTTCGCCGTAATCATCAATCATTCCATGTCCTTTCATTTGTGATTTATCAAATAAAAGGACTTAACTAGTGCATTTCAAATATATATAGATTTTACTTATATACACCCGAACATTGATTAAGTAAAAGAATTAGTTCAAAAACTAAAACCCCTGAATATTAAAAAACAAACTGTTGTGGCATACGACTACGCTGTCCTTTGCCCATCGCTATTATAATATAGCTATTGCTACAAAATATATTTCTTGTTTCAAACTTTTTAGAGCGTGATTTAGCTATAGTCGGGTTTTAGTTTAAAAACTTCTTTTTTAACCAATTTGGCAATACAAGCTCAGTAGATATTTCATCCAACTGACTAAAGTAATATCGCAATTCTTACAATGCAAAGTGTGATTTCGTAGATTTCTTAGATGTTTCTTAAATGTACAACAATTACTCTCGGAGAACTTGAAAAAATATCATACCAAGTCACGTTTGCTATCTAGAAAGATCTCGGCGACCCCGCCATCGTGGATGGAATATTGGTGGGTGTAGTAAGTTTCGGCTCCCCTACGTGTGGCACCCCCGACACGCCCACCGTCTTTACAAGAATCAGCTACTACGCACAGTGGATTGAGAGCATAATAAAATTGGTGATGTTCTCAGTAATTATATACAGTAGATAGTTTTTGTTGATAGGTCATCATCATCGTAGGCCTATAGAAAGATGTTAGAACGGGCTATATGCTTATGGTATTATATTTAAATTAAGACAGTTAACTTTTTTTTAATCTATATGCGGACTTTAAACAATACATTTTGTTAGGATGTGGTTGTACAGCGCTATCGAGATAAAAAGAAACAACTGCTAATGAGAAATCAATACACCAGAAAGAGACGGAATAGAACACTTCAATGCCTGCATTTTAGAAATATTCATTTGTGATAATTTTTTTGGCTGTATTTTAATTTCAAAATAAGGATAGAAAATTAATTGCCTGTGAAGTGATATCCCATCTTTCGTCTAACTAGAAGTCGTAGTGCACTCACTTTCCACACCATTTTCTTGCGCAACTAGGCATTTTGTTCTAATTATTTTAATTTTAAATCGAGAGCGCGTAACCAACCTATGCATTATTATGACTTCGAGTGACGAAAGAATTCGTCGTTGCACTCTCGATGACCTAACCACATGATTTGTTTCAACATCCATCAATTGTAAAATGCATTTTTGAAGTAGCACCATACTTTAAAAGATATCTGAATTACATAAATTAGTTTTAAAAACTACACAGCTATTAGAATGCTTTTTAGTTTTCAATTAAGGTGTGGGTAATTATAATGATTAAGAAACTTACTTATTTCAGGATATGTCCAAGCCGTCACGCATTAATAGAATACTACGAATGCCTCAGTTGATAAGTTTACCATACCCTAGAAAAGAAAACATTTTACATTCTCATAATAAAATTGTGAAAACTTACTTTGAAGAGATGAAGATATTGAGAGTGATACTGCGGGAGATAGAGACGACGAATGCTTCGCTGATAGACAACATTATCGACGAAAGCTTTGACAAGGAGATTATGAATGCCCTCCAAGAAACTACCAAAACTGATTTGGCGCATCACCCTCTAATAAACAAAAGCCTTGTGCCAGTCCACGGAGTGCATATACCGGAAGAAAAAGATGCAGGAGAATACAAGACGGTATCACTGACGACGTCTGACAGATTCTCTTATCCATGGGAAGGTATACCTGTAACTGTACCTGATGCTATAATAGATTATGAAGGTTTTGTAGAAGATTTTTATCATATGTTGACTACTACTTTACAAACCATCACTTTCACATCGAGAACTACCAAAAAAACTACTCCTACATCCACAAAATACTTCACAGATCAATTCGGAATGTTAAGATCAGATGCAGAGGGAAATACTTCTGAAAGTAAAGTTAACAAAGAAAGTGTGGAGGGAATTAATGTAAAAGGGGTAACTGTGATGACAAACTATGATCCTGTAACGATTTCAAATTCCATGGAAAATGAAAATTCCCAAAGTGAAACTAAACCAAATGGAAAAGATACAAAAGTATATTTTTATTTTGACCGAAATATAAACGTATATTCCAAGAAATAAAAAAAAAATTCAAATAGTTTTATATCGATGGGAAACTACATTAAATTTAAAATAAATAAAATTTTAGGCACTAACAATAAAACTATCTACATTATCAATATTGAATATAGCACTTACTAACTACAATTTATTGGTGTTATTTATTTGTTCACCACCAGCGGACTGCGTAACCATTGCTTCGGCAGACATACCGCATTGCACCTTACTTACCTATAGTTACATCGATTTACTTGTCATTGAATTGAATCCAAATAATGCACCTAACATTCAAAACTGTATTATCAGATAGAGCGTGTACGTTCAATGCTTACGTCGGTTGAATCAAATGTAATCAATTTCAATACAGTATTGAAAGTTGAGTGAAGATCTTTTTTAATTGGATTGCTTAATTATTTGCTCTAAATCAAAATCCTAACCTTCGACAACAAATTGACATAGAGGTAATTTTATGAATTCATGTCATGACCCATTTAATACATTTTTTGAAGCTATAGATGATCGAGTATCTCTTCAAAATTACAGCGCACTTAAAGCAGCGTCCAGTTTTGATAAAGTTCTGTTATAAACAAAACAGTGGCGAACAGAGGGCATTCGCAGAATTAGAGGTTAAACCAAAATACAAGTTCTTATTGATTGAACCTCGAACTCTTTGACAACACTGTATTCAACGCTGCGTTAGACGTTGTATTTTTAACAGAATAGAAGCGCCTCACGACAACTTCGCCTTCAACCTTCCATGATGTAATACCAATTGAGGCATGGGCATGCAGTTTCGAAAAATTATAATAATGAGATTATAAAGCTTTATATATTTTATAATAATGAAATACATCACTAACAGAGTGAAGGAACCTACATGCTAAACCTCTTTGAAACGCACATTTTGAAACATTCTATCCGTCATTTTAAATAGTGTATGACACTATCCAAAATGACGTAAAAGTATTCCTCAACTTATCTGTCACAGCGAAATGGCGCTTCTATTAAAACAATACACCAGTTCTGCGATCCCAAGGGTTTACCACGTCAGAAACGTTTACGGGACATGTAGAGTCGGCTGCCGCGATGTCGTGGGACATGGTGTTAACGGTATGGCAAATTATAAAGACGATGCCCATTTCCCATTCCCTGCTGTAAGATTCAAAGAAAACACTAGAGATATCTGTGTAAGTATAGAACATATTGTATCGCGCATTGGTTCCTGCAGAAACGTAATCTTCAATAAAGAGTGCAACTATTCGGTGTTACCTCATTTTCCGTTGAACGGGTTTTCCAAACAAAGGGCATTAGTTAGATCTTGTAAAGCTGTTTTGTCTCATCATCAATTCCCTGCTGCTGCGACTCAGATCTACCCTATGGATGAAATCGAATAGGGAGAATGGGCCATGACCCACCACACGGGCCCAATGTGTAACGGTGGGTATTAACGAGTGCAGATGCATCTTAACGTGCCTTCAGAAGCACCGAGGAGATAAAAAACGTTTGGTCACCCATGCCATGACCGACTATTGCGAAAGTAGCTCAACAACCGTATTCCAGACAGAATGCGTTAACTACTGCACTATCGAGCTCCTGTATTGTCTATTAACATAAAAGTAGCTTAGTGACTTGGTGAAGCTAATGCGGAAGAATACATTATTATACGGTATTTACCAGGCGTTGCGAGAGAAAGAGAAAGGCGACTGGAAGATGCTATGCTGCGAGGAAAAGAAGGCGCTGTACCGTGCATCGTTCTGCCAGACGTTCGCAGAATTTCAGCACCCCACGGGCACGTGGAAATTTGTCATTGGGGGTGTTTTCTTTATGACTTCTTTTACCTTCTGGATAGCGATGTTCTACCACTATTATGGTACGATTCGACACGTAGAATAAACAACTTATTGCATGACAAATGCATAAAATTTTAAAGCAATACTGTAAAACATTGAAATACTTATAATCAAAGCGATCACGATTTAACTCTGTTAGACATTTTGTAATGGGTTGTTCGTATGTCGCAGATCCCTGCGGATTAGTCACAAACCACAGCGATCCTCAAAGTCAGCATAATCCAAGCCTTCAGTCACATGCAGCTTTATTTATGCACATGAAATACTATTTCGAATGTATATAAATTGTATTTCTTATATTTTTAGTTGCGGAACCATATCCGATTTCATTATCGGAGGAAAGTCGTAGAGCACAGCTTCGAAGGATGCTGGAGATCAGGGCCAATCCTATAACCGGAATATCCTCTAAATGGGACTACGATAATGACCGATGGAAGGTACACAATAAAGTCTTTCACATCTTCTCCATATCATTGCTAATTAACGAGTCCTTTATAATAACTAGCTATAACCCGGCACGAATTGAACAATGATGTTGACGATTGTAAACGCAGACATCTATCGTTGTATTAAACGAAGTAAATCATTAAATTCGTTCTCCTGTACCCATTGATTTTCAAATTTTTCCCAATTAGGAACAGGACAGAGCAAAGAAGCGAGACAGTTAGCGAAAACAAAACATACTCTACACCAAGTGTCTAATTGGAAGCCGCAGTTTGTAATGTTTTTTTTTTCTGTTGCAGTAATCGTCAGTTGAAGGTTCCCGACTACAGGTTGCTAGTTCCTACCTACATGTATTATAGATTTTGTCACCTTTTCAAGACATTTATATACTTTTGGGCGACTATCTTTTTTGCCTTTGCACTTTACTCAGCTGGTTATGCAATATTAACACGTCGCGTCTTGATGCAACGCTGGATTGAGATATTTTTTACACTTTAACGTGTGATTATGATGGCTCGCCATCACACATATATTGATACAAAATTGTGTACAGAAATTAGAGTGTATAAAACATGACGTGTTTCGAGAACCACTTTAGATTGAGTAGTTTCAAAACAAAACTGAAGCTGGTCAACCTGGAGTAACTCAAATGCTATAACGCATTTATAACGCTATTATAGTTTCTAATATTAGAATCTCTGTTAGATAATATCGATTATGTCAATAGGTAACTTATAATAGAAGATATATTTCGTAATGTTGGTGTTTTATTTCAAAATATCATTAACATTTTCACAGTATAAAATACTAACGTCCTGAAAAGTGTAACTATATATATAAGCGGTAACAGGAAGAGCAAAGGCCATCACACCCCGTTTTTTGCTTAGTTTAAGATGATGCTACGCTGCTAATTGAGCGGCAATTAGATATATGACGAAGATGATTTCCTGCTCGCGTAGAATGACACTCGAGAGACGCTTTGTTTACTAAGAGCTAGAGTGAAATATCGTAGGAGTGCACCCAAAAAAAGTGACATTTAGATGGAGTCAAAACATTCTCGAGTTTATTATGCTACGCGTGCTGGTGGTGGCAAATTAGAAATATTTAAAGTTTGAATGTCACCTTATACTTCACTGTAGAAGGTACTATTATTTTCATACAAATTGCATTAACTTAAACTAATTTCATTGCATTCATATCGCTAGGGGTCGCATGTATAACATCAATTTTCTCAATATTAAGTTTCACGACGCTAGCAATTTCGGGCGATGCGCATATTTTTGCTGAAACGGTTTCACGCAACTAATTTCACATCGATTTACAAAGTACATTCACATGTGCCGATATCACATACTTTCGTGAAACTTGTTTTTATTCGTAACACCTACTTTCGTAATTTAAATTCGGCCTAACTGAACAAGCACTTTCGATCGCCTCATACGTGTAAATACCACCGGGCATACTGTGCGTGGGTCCGACGGGAAGTAAATCCTGATGAACCCATAAATTTATTATTTTAATCCATGGGTAAAGTAGTATGAGCTAAACATATAAAATCGTATTTTAGAAAAGTTAATTACTGCGTTGACCTGACTGGGAATAGCCCAGGTTCTATCCTCAACACCTCAGAGATGGCAACAGCTTGAAGCTGTCAGCTTAACTTTAGTGCTATCCTTTTACTTATCGGTATGTGAACTATACAATATATATTTCAAAAATGTTACATGCCAAATTTTAATTACAATATCAATAAAAGTTACCTTACCATTTTGCTTATCGTAAATGTAATAAAATATTTCAATTTCTTTCAGTAAATTTTGCTACCAATACAAAGTGAAAAAACATGTTTTATTCAAATAGTGCGTTATTAAGTATATCATTACTATATTTAATAGATGCCAGCAGAGCACATAAAGAATTCATAAGTTTATCAGATAATTCAGTGTCGTCTGATGATGGTGGTATATATTTTTATATTATATTATTTACCTAATATTAACTCATTGGTTATTTCATCTCTGCCTTTAAAATCACATCTTAAAAACCTTAAAGTTTAGAACACAATTCAAATTCGAATTTATTTCCAAATAGGTACCTACTCTTAAAACGTGCATAAAACCAATTTTTGATATATCATACCAAAGTAAATTGTGCTCTGTCCTATTCCATGACGTTAATAGAAAAACCGGCCACGTGCACGAATGGTTCCGTATCATTATCCTTGGAAAAAGTAAAAAGAAAATCACATTTGTCGTTTTTTATGGAATTGTTCGAAGTTTTCGGGTTAAATACAATTATTCGACTATTACTCGAAAACTTGTAAAGCCAACTTAAACTTAATTGTGAGAATTTTCCTTTTAACTTCGTTATAAATAGGCACCACTGCCGTAAAGTTTGAATTTTTACTAACGACTGTTTAGTTACTAGAGGGGGGGGATACACTTCTTTCTAAAGAAAATTAGCTCTTTAAAACTAATAAGTCACAAACGGTTAACTATATCGAACAACGCTCAGACCCCCTATGATTTTGAAAGACCTATCCAACAATGCCCCACACATTGGGAAAGATGAAAAAAATCCACACTTTACATGTAGGGGTACACTAATGTCTTTTTAAATTTTACTTTACCGCTTTGTTTGTTGTGTTGTTACTATGGAATATTAAGGAACCTTAAGGTTCCGTAGTAAAAACACATTCCGTAGTAAACATGAAAGTAACTACTATTTTATGAAAGTACTAATCTAAAATGAATCGATACTGTACTCGATACCAGTATCGTATCAAAAGTAATAAATACCTCGAGGTATCGAGTACTTTTTATTACATTTATAAAAAACCCAAACCGTTTCTGTTGCTAACTCTAAATAATAAATCAGTACATTAATTAATTAAACTTAAAATATTTTTATTTTTCTACGATCGTTACATTACAATAGAAATTACCTTCACAAATTAAAAACAAACACTACACAACAGCATTTCTCATGATTGGGTTCTAAATTCTGATTAATCGGGCCTATTTTCAAAGACAATTTGAAATCTGTGACTAAAGTTTCTGTATCAGCTCTGTTTGAAAAAAATAAATTGAGTTATATTGATTTACATTACTATATTTATATATGTATTAACCACAAAACAGACCAAAAGAGGTTAGCTAACTACCTATTATCTACGCTAATAGTTTCAGACTAAAATGCACAGTACAAATATATGTTGTACTTTGTTTGTACTCTGCTATAGTGATCGATAGTGCCCACATTGGAAGTGAAAAAGATTTTGTGCTTTCATTAGTCGGTCGTTGACTGTCATTGATTTATCGAGTAGTGCAAACTCATTTACATTAGTCGATAGGGCGCTTATGGGGAATGCGGAGATTTCTGTGCTTATTTTCATTAGACGGTCATTAACTTTTATTGGTTTACCGACTAGTACAAGCTCATTTACATTGGTAAATTTACATCCGTACTAGTCAGCATTAGTGTTTGATTGAAACTGAAAGAGTTTATCACTCACACTATGCATGCGAGCACATTATAAAAGTCAACAGTTAATACAAAACCCGCTAACGGGCGAACCCTTTACCTATTACATCATCACTTCCAAAGAGGTAAAATGTGAGAGCGCTTCCTTTCCCCCACCCTAAATTGAAATTGAAGATTGAAATACCTACATAAAATTGTTGTACGTAAAATCTGGTATAGCCGGGTAAAACGGGGTATAGTAACATTCTGAGATATAGCACATTTACAAAAACCGCAAATATTACTTTGCCATTCATACAACCACTATGAAAATACAACAAAAATGAAAATACATATTATAAGTAAGTAAATAATAGATATATTCTAAGGTATTAAAATTTAATATTTCTACGGAACCCCCAGTGCGCGAGTCCGACTCGCACTTGCCCGTTTTTCATACTGAGAAGTATCTTAAACAGTTTAATACACATCAAAAGTAATATCTTTATCTATTTTAGGTTAGCAAATTTATACATTTTTATCTTTCTTTTCTTATTATTATATAAAAATTTCATGCCCATTATAAAAAAAAACAACGTCAAAGCACCCAATAAATAAAAAATAATATTTGTAGAGGCTATTTAATTTGTAGTGCGACGATATCGAGTTCGATGCTGTGACGTCACAGGCGAGCCGGAGTCCACATACATTCCGTGCGAAAACACGCAGTTTTAAATAATATATAACTTGGTCATTTAATAACAGATTTGAATTTTTTATTTTAGTTTTGACCTACATTTTTATTTTATTGTGTTAAATATAATAACATCAACATCATGAAACTTCTCAATTCTAATACAAAGCAATCGTAATAAACCAGATAGTACACATACTCATAATCTTCAGTGACATGGTGCCTGATGGTCTAATTGTCCCGAAGTTTAAAACCATAAAGTACAATGTAAGGGTTAACAGAAGAATATCGTATAACTGAACTCTAGATCACATCTCGGCAGTGGCAAAGCAATCACCGAACCGCAGGAGTCACCGTAAACAGGAGTGGCAATACGAAGGTCTCCCGATCGAGTTCCCTGCCCGTAGATTTGGCGGAAACCCGCTCGCCGTCGACGATGATCCTCCTACCACTACTACCACCACTACCACCAGTAAGTATAGCCAAAGTCATTTATTTGCTTAGAATAGGTATACAAGATCTTAAAAACTAGTATATTACTATCGCTATTCAATTAATAATACGTGCCAAATTATCTAATTCCAGAAATGTGTTAACATTATAATAATAAAAATTATGAACTATTCTCGCAGACTTTTTGTTATTGGGCTCACAGGTTTTCTTAAATTGTTCAAGTATCCTATTTTAAACTTCCATTTACCATAAACCATCTCCTTAAATTAGACACTTTAAGCAATGGCGATTGACGACCATCTTAGTGGTCACTAAAATGGATCTAACCACGATCTCACAATAGATATCTGCTATCCTAACAATATACGGCTGATATCTATTTTAAAACTGAGCCTGCAAAAGATCTCTTCTTCTTGTTCTCGAAAAGAATCTCATTATACGAACCAACCGCCTCTTTTGGACTCTTTTGGTTCGTTTAGCCCTAGGATAAATATTCCAACATATCAAACATATTGTATTACTGGGAGAAAATGGTAAATATATACGACGTGTCTCCAAGGAAACTATAAAAACATAACTAACATACAATGTCACAGCAATATCAACAGCAAATCCACCACTGGACTCTCGCTATCGTCGCGTTTACAATCCTGATGAAACGGCATATGTGGAAGACTACCCGTTCATGGCTGCATTACTTGTCAACAAGGAACTGTGGTGTGGAGCCGTCATCATAGATACTGACGCAGTGCTCACAGCAGCACACTGCCTGCAGCTGTATGTGATCAGTATTACTTAATACCGTGTTCTATATGATTTATTTTTCATTTTAATGGCGGAATTTAAATAACCTTGACCAACAGTAACAATAAGGGACTTACAGACATAATATCAATATAGTTTCTTAATCAAGAGTAATTTTACCGAATTTCTAGATTGTATTAATAATATTATTAACAATAATATGTTCGTACAATAATTCCACGACTATGTCATCTTGCTTGATAATGATACGATAAACTTACGTTTGGCTACAGCCGTATTTTACATAAATATAGAGTTATATAATATAAATGCAAGGTTTTCTTACCTTGAACAATGTTTCAGACAGTACAACAACCGCTTCTTCAGAGAATACGTGAAAATGCTAACAGTAAGAGTAGGCTCCGACAACGCTACTGCCGGCGGAGAGCAGCTGCGCGTCACCGAGATATTCTTCCACCCAAACTACAAGCCTCAAACCCTGGAATTCAACTTTGCAGTGGTGAAGGTCCATAAGAATATGACGTTCGGCAGGGGCGACCCGAAAGTGGATATGGTGCCGTATTCAAGGGACTTGACAATACCTATCGATAAGAAGATAACATTCCTTGGATGGGGATCAGTGCTGGTAAAACGTTTTTGCAACTCAACCTCCTGGCTCCAAAAAACTACCTATCTATACCTTCACGCCGAATTCGTTTCAGGGTAGGCAGAGGACTGGAACGCCACAGAGCACGATCTTCACATAGTCTTTTTTCTCGACGTTAATTGCTTTTTTCATAGAAGTTCGCCAGTATTTACAACTTCTGATATCAATTGCCCATAACATGCTATCAATTTGATCGTGAAAAATGTGACTTGACCTTCCACATAAATAATCGTTGTCCTAAAGTATTTTTGTATTTTTTACCGAATTAATTCAATTTGTGTTACGTCAATACTATTTTCAGGTGTTAAGAATTTAATGATTGTTTATTTAATTATTTTAACTCCCGGAATCGGCCGTTCAGCAGTGTGTTGTTATAGGTATTGAAATAACGACTAATAAAGTCATCGAAATAAACGATTATTGTCATCTACTATTTACTCAAGAAAAAATGGTGTCACTGAATTAGAAATTACTTTATTCAAAAAATAAAATCGACGTTAAAAAATCGGAATTAGTCCTGAATTAGCAAAAGAAACTTTTTTTGAAGCCAGGCGGTTAAAAGTAGGGTCCTCGAATCATCGTCCGAGATCTAAAGCACAGAATATGGTATCTAAATAAAGTTTCCGAGTACCTAGCACCTAATTATTATAGTAGATAAATCGCAGGGTGTCGGCGGAATGGGTGGTGCAGTTCTCCTCCAGAGGGTGGATTTACCTATATACGACCTGGCTGATTGCCAAGACATATACGGAAGGTAAGTTATTGTAGCCCTATTGAATTCTATAACGCATTTGATTATACATATGTAGGTATGTAACATATTTCAATTTTGTCTTAGGAATTTAGTTACGAGGAACAACTTTTGCGCGGGGTACATAACCATTCAGAAAAATGTTTGCAATGTAAGTATGACTGAACTATAGTTTACTATAATACATTTTATAATGCAGGAAAATGCACCTTGTGCCTTCAATCAGGACTCTGCGATACCGAATCCATCCTGAAAACGACAGGCTTAACCAAGGCCGGCGTATCTGGTAAAACCCTCTTCGGTAAGTACCCGGAATTCGGCAAGGAGCTCGCCGGGTCCAGCCCCACTTAGTATACCTAATAATACCTAAAATTTTTGTTTGAATAAGACTCAATTCTTGAACCATCTAATCTCTATTTATCACTCCGTCCGGAGATAGGGACAAATAGCCAAGTTACATATAGTTTCGGAGATAAACGAATCTTTGTAGCACAGCTTGATTGACGTCAGTCAGGGGAAACGCCACAACCAGAACTCTGTTCTTACAATGAATTCCAAAAAACGTTCCATGTCCTATTTATCAGATTAGGATACAACGGTAATAATTCTATAAAGTCAATATTTATTAAGAAATTGAAATGACGTTATATCTACCGTTTTTAAAACATCTTGTCATTTTAACATCAACTCATGAAACATTGAAACTTTTGCCAACCTGCGAGTATTCACCAAAGATGAAGTGAAGTAAATAACGCAAGAGATCTCATTAACCAAACAGTATTTTAAAACTCAGACTTCGACAAATATACATAGACACAGACAAATAGATTATACTAGCTAGCGGATACAATAATGTAGGCATATCGAACTTTCGTATCAGATGGATGAGACAGGTAGCTTTTTATTATAGGTTATAAATGAAATTGTTGAATTAATATGGTTAAACACTTCTCTAGCACGACGCCGGAGGTCCAGCTATAATGGATGGCGTGCTTGTTGGCATCTTATCATTTTCCTCGAAGAGGTGCGACAAACCTGATCAGCCGGCGGTGTTTTCCACAATTGGAGTTATAGCACCTTGGCTCGAAAGACTCGAAGAAAACATTGTGCAATTACGGTAATGACTACACAAAAACTTTCAATATTACGTGAAATTGAGTAAAAAGTAGGCTCCAGGTAAGTGCCTTAGGGAAGCTCAAACTACTAAAATAGAGAGATACTAGGAATGACTAGCACTTTCATTCAAACAAAGTATAAAGTTAAGAATTTATAACCCAAATCAAAAATTTGTTGTTAAAAAAATATATTTTGAAGTTAGTTTATTGAATAAAATAATAAAATTCAACATCTGATAACATGATGATATATTTAAGATGAATAACATGCATATTTATTTATTTCAGCAACACGGCCCTAAAATCTAACAATCCTTAATGAAACAATCTAGGTCCATACATCAATAATATATTTTAATACTGTACACATAATGACCATCCATTTGACACAAAAAAAATAAATAAAAAGATTATAAATATACGTTTTCAAATCTTTAATTTCTATCCAACATACAACATTGAATAATAATTTTTGAGTACATAAGAGAAGGTAAGTTATTTATATTTTAAATTATATTGTTCTTTAGCGGATCTCCAGATTACTTCAAATAAAATGATATCGAGCTGATTTACATTACATGCTTATCTATCAATTCAACAATAATTATTTCATTAATAGGGTAAAACAAGCTAATTTTAATATACAGCAATGGCAAAGGCAAACTACCTTCTTAATGGTAGTGTACACCATCATCTATTTCAAGCTTACCACTGGCATAAGCCAACATTAACTTTTTATTCAACTATAAAGTGCCTATCAATAAAACTGAATTTCAATAACTTTAAGGGCTATAAAAGTGACCGCAAATGCGATTATGTATATTTTTGCTTAATCAAAGCGATAGTTCACATGGAGCTCAGGCTTGATGTCATAAACCAAGTTGAGGATGTCCTTAATTACCTGTAAAAAGAAAATGTACCACTAAATATTAAAACTTGATTACAAGCCGCTATCTACATCAAATATACCTGAAATAATTATATGCAATAAAATAACCAAATCACTATATAGTTGGGGTGTCTCAGTTAAAAATACCATGTTAAAAGAATTCAATTCACAATATATAAATGATGTGTACTCACCAGCTCTTGTTTCTGCTGTACCATTCTGTTCATCTCCTCGATCTTGACTTTGGTCTCAGCATCAATTTTGGCTGCTACACCTTCCCTTGTGCCCATGTGCTATAAAGAAATATATATTTAATATTCTTTTTATTCACCGATTTAATTTTACTTTAATTTCATAAATCTGACCACAGACCTACACCGAATCTAGTTAGTTTAGCCTAAACTGCATAAATGAGGTAAGTCTCATTCTTATTTGAAAATAACAAACTGTTTAACTGTGTGACACATTTTTTATTTTTATTTATTAAGATAATAGAAATAATATCTAATTTATTATTATTAATTTATTAATCGAATCAATGAAATGGGTTTAGCCCAGTGCAGTAGAGATGTCAATTTTATGTGCTGGAGTGTCCATTTTCCTAAACTGAAGTAACATAAGTCGCTACACTACAAGTATGATAAGAACTATTCAACCCAATTCGTTGAAGTAATGGAAGCTATTTATTTATTCTTTATTGCTTAAAATAAAACACAAATGGCGGACTTAATGCCAAAGGCATTCTCTACCAGTAAACCCTAGCGAAAGTTGGATTTTCATGTAAGGAGATAAGTAAGGCGATTGTGGCTATAACCAAAATACATTATCCTCATCAACTTGAAATCAAAATTTCTTTTCTTGAAAAATTAATGCTCTACTGAAATACCTTGGCCTCGAATTCTTTGAATTGTCTCTCGCGCTCTTGTCTGTACTTTTCAACCTCATCTTGAGCCTCTTCCTTGGCCTGCTTTAGGCGTTTTGCTTTTCCTGTAATTTTAAGAAATATCAGAGAATGATTCTTTTCAAAAAGCATTGATACATTCTATCAATTGATAATTTGGGTTTTTGTTATATACTTTTTATCATGACAAATGCTGTCAGGACGGACAATATGTACTTACTTTCAATGAGTGTCACTCATTAGCTCAGTATCTGTATTATTTTTAAATATTATTTATTATGGAATAAATGTAACCTTCTGGCAGGGAATATACATCATTTATCATCATATGAAACAAGAATGAGTACCTATATCAAGAAATTAGAAAATTTACATTCATCTTTTCAAAATCATGTGACTATAAGACAGGTACTACATACCATACATAGATATCAATGCAATCATTTGTAAAGGTGGACCATGATTGGATAATTGACCAATTCATATTATCTGTTAATCACAAACTTTATTGCTTTCTAGTCTAATATTAAAGGATTTTGATAAATAAATAACGAATATGAACAAAATATTAAATAGATGTGAACCTTTGCAGCAAACAAACACAAGGATAAAATAGACTAAAAGGAACTAAAATTAGTTATTACAAAATACGCAATTATTGTACTTACGCTTTCTCGCTTCCGAGACTTTCTCAGCAGCACGTTTTTCAGCAGCCAGTAGTTGCTGGATTCCCTGTGTCTGACTCGCCATTTCTAATACACACAAAAACTAGGTATGTCGAGCGAGAATCGAGACCAAGACACGAATCAATAGATGAAAGAAGAAATATGACGAAAGTCATATGATTACTTTAGTTCCTACATGTTGTCACAATTGGCGCTGTCGTCGACTCGTGCTCCCGTGCACTTACATATAATGGAACGTAAAATCTAGAACTATGTGAAGTTTTTTTTGTAATATATATCTAATTTCTTTAAAATATATTTGTATTATTCTATATAACAGTTTTATCAATCGAATAAATTGCTATTTACTAATAAAACTTTTAAAATAGCATTGCAAGGTAATTCGTTAATTTCGTATAAAGAAATGTAAATGTTACATGCATGTGTGAAATGTTACATAGATGGCGCTTTAAAGAATTATTGTCAATCCTTTAGAATTATTATATTTTTTGATTAAATGTGTATACGTATGTAATTCTATTACACACAATCAGAAGAAAATAAAGACCCTATCCAGCTTTTCAAATATTAATGAAAAATATTGTTAATATTGCAATGGCAACACTATCCATAAAAATAAAAAAGTCGAAATAAGGCACTGGCGCGGTAATATTTAAATCTGATCATACCACGTTTAAATGGTCGCCACATTATAATGAGTTACAATTTCAATTTAGTTACTGGGTGGAATAATTTTTACAGAATATTGATGTTTAATTTTTTTATAGTTTTATCTAAGAAATTAAGAACTTTCAAAATATTTATTACAAAAATAATTAAAATTCCAATACAAGCCGCCGAACAAGTCCCTTGCCATAACAATTAGTTTTGTCTCTTTCTTACATTCACGGCAATATGAAATGGAGCATAATCTCCCTCCTTCTTATTTTCGTACTTCGACACGCTCAACACAAAGGTTTCAATATTTATTTTGCTACATCGCTGGTTAAATACGTCAACATCGCATAGGACGCCTTAATTAAACAGTATTGTAAAGCAATAAAATTGCTATGGTAGCATATAATCGCTCATGTTGGCTAGATATTACCGGCATCTTGTTCGGCGTCACGTCACAATTTTCTTTATCATTTCGGTGGTAAACTTATCGTAGTATGGCCGTCGTTTGGAAGTATTCACAGTTTTACTTCCACAAAGAATACGCGATAAATATTGAACGGAGCGAATTACGAAAGACATTTTTAAACAAGTACTTAACGCGAGTGAGATAAACAATCAATATAAGTGTTGAATACAAAGGAGATTACTATAGAAACAACCTGCGACCTCCTTTTATTTCTTTATTTTTTACGGTTTTCTCCTAAATATATTCAAAATGTGGTTAATCAGCCAACCGAATTCTGTGATTTTACCAATCAAAGCAGATCTCAATGCAATTGGTCAAGAATGTTTGGAGAAGGTGAGTTATTTGCCAAATTAATTACACAATTATTGCAGTAAACGTAAATAATTTGCCTGTTTTGTAACCATTATTTGTTTGTTACTGTTTGAATACTTTTCTGGTAATCTTTATCAGTATTTACTTTACAAACTAATTATACAATTATTTAATTTACAAACTAATTATGACAATAACAGATTCAAATTCTTCTCAATAAGATAATAAACAAAAGGTAGTTTTGGACAAATTATTTATATAAATAATACATCCACTGCAAGATAATTAATCTTTGCACCTATAGGTATATATTTAATTAAAATCATAGCTATGTTCTTACAAAATCATCGAACCAGAGTGGAGACACGTTCGTAGGACGACGTCACATTTTACCTTGCGGACTTTGGACCCGGCAAACAGCATGGTTATACCGTTCACGTTGCGCCTCCGTGATTATATTTGAAAGGTGTTATATCTATTTCTGTTATATTTGAGTTCAATATTGCACTGAAAAATATTTTTTCTGAGTACCTGACTCATTGTTAACGGCTACTGAAATCGCTAGAAAAAAAAAAGAAATATCATTGATGTTCAATTATCTATTTGGATTAGATAATTGTTAATTAATAATCAACTACATCTAAACGTCGATGCTTACTGTCTATTAATTTTTATTTCAAAAGTCATTTATTTACATGTAGTGTTAATGTTTCATACAAAAAATGCTGACTAAAAAATATTACAGCTAAATATTGTGTACAACACAGACATTTTATTGGACATGCTGGCTTTGATCCAGCGATAAATAGGTTTAAGACAATATGAAGAATTTTTTATAGATATATAAAAAGGTGTAACTGTTGAACATATGCAGTAACATTAATCAGTTATCACTAATATTATAATCGAAAAGTAACTCTGCCTGTCGATTCCGCTTTCACGGACATACATACCACTGGGCCGTTTGTTATAAAAATGCTTGTTGGCTAGAGAAGAAGATGAAATACAGTTTTTTCAAAATAACAATATTACAGCCAAAATCTCGCCACTGTTTAAAAACTAGCGAAAATTGCAGAGATTAAAAGTAATGTCATAACAAAAATATAATCGTCATTATTAAGGGCGGGTATATATCTATATTCAATGTGTGTCAATGGTGTAAACCACAAATCAATTATCGATGATTGAGTTATTTGTTTCCTTTGTTGTAATACCTATCAGAAATGGACAAAATTTAGGTAATACAAATTTATATATTAAGTAATTTTCATTCTAAATTAAAGATTGTATGTTGTGAAAGGGTCAAAGATTATGCTTATAATAATTCAGATGGCGACTTAATACCTACGTTTCCCTGAATTAAGCCAGTTTCGTACGAATTTGTTTATTGGTCATAAAATAGCCCTGTTTTTATTTAAAATGTTTATAAGAGTACTATCATTAAAAACTCATTTGTTCCAGTTTAATTAAAAAAAGATAGTTATCATTGTCTCTTCGATTTCTTAATGAGACGCGGTTTTTGCATCAATAGACCGTTTACTCTGTGATTCGTAGAATAACTCACGCGCTCCGTACTAAATCACTATTGTAACACCGGTGACTGTGAGTCGGGTCCAAAGTCCAACCGTTTGGTATAACAGCTGTGAGCTCACCGTCCGTGCGACTGCGCACGTGTTAGCTGCGTGATCGTGAGATCTAGACAACTTTTACTGCACACAAAAACTGTTAAACCCATCCTTATAGCCCTAGCAATAACGACTGTTGCAGATGCAGTTATAATATTTGCTCGAGAGTGTTTGGTTTTTTATAGGTGCAACGACAAATACTGAGGGTGTTGAAATTTTCGAAACTATTGCTTACAATTGTCTATTTCTTTGAATGTTTAGCACATGTACTCCAAAAATACGGCTTTTGTTGATCCATTATCATTTCAACCATTAAGGTAGAAGTAGCTCTAAAATGCTTTTACCTGTATCAGAATTGCTATCAGGTATTCATTTCGATTGTGTTTTACAAATCAGAGCTCGCACGCTTGTACATGAGCTAATACTCGGCTGAGTCCAAACTTCATTCCGTAAGGGATATAATTAACTCGATTTAACAGATTAAAATACCACGGTCTTCATAGATACATGAGAAGGTTAATAGGATCATCTTGTAGTGTAGGTACTGTCATGTCTTCATTCTTATTCTATGATTCCTACCAGCTTTTAATAGTTACAATGCAAATGAATGAATTAGTTGCATATTGTATTTTGTAATATAATTATTTGATTGTCTCATTGTTTTTGGTTTAAACAATGTAACCACAAGACATAAAAATTTATAGCCTCTTAAAATATTTTGAAATTAAAACTTAAGGACAGCGTCGTCTGTAAATGTACGTGCCTTAAATTGCAAAAGAAAAATTAGTCTAGTCAATAAAATGTTTTGCTACTATTTGTTGAACTTTCCAATTGGTTTCGTTTGGACTTCGCACCGTGACGTCACTTCGGTACGGCCTCTGTTGGGTAACGCTCTCCATTGTTTGTCACAATATCCTCCTAACCGTTTATAGCAGCGTGCTAATTGTTTGGTAGGTAAGAATTATGTTTTCAACATGGTCCGTTTCTATATAAACAATGTGTGAAACAATATAAGGTCTAAATTGTTTGTCTCCTTAAAACTTTCACTTCAGACATCAACGGAGCATCGCTTTCGCAAAACAAGTTCTATATTGCGTGATATCTCCAAAAAAGTCCAGTCGTTTTTTACACTTAATTACACCAGATCAGCGTAACATAATCAGAATCTAGGATTAGACGATATGTAACTTTGTGTCACCCATCACATCACTGTCGAATATTGTTATAGAAAGTGATAAATTACAAATCTCGCACATTTTAGGGGATGGGAGAACCGAAAGATGCTTCTCTAGTCTTTACGAAAATTCTGAATTATCAGAGCACACATTATAGCTCGTTTACTTTGGAAACATAACTTCATTTTTGTATCAGTGGTTTCGAATGCACCTGCTACTTAAACTAGATACATGTTAATTACCCATCGATGAAGCTGTCGCAGACCGCGTGAAGATCGCAAACCAGAAATTGCAACAAACGCCATTATCAAACTGCTATGAGACCCAATAAGTTGTCTATCAGGAACAAGCCCTAACACGTTCCTAGACTTTATATCGTCACAAAGAAAATGTATAACAAAGGTATTACTGAATACAATGATGGAATTACCATAAGAGCATGCGTAGTCTACAGAAATCTTGCATATCAACGACTTTTTTTAAATATTTCCTCAATATTCATAATATATAATAGCAACACACTGATCGGTGTAAAGTCCAAATGACTTACGTTTAACTATGTATACAAGTCAACATATAGGTATATAAATATTTTATAAGTAATCGCAGGGCCGCAGCTAAAACCTTGGCTCACATAACGCTCATTATCAAAGAGTTGCCTTGTCTACTATTTGAGGGTTTAGCATTTTTTGTGATCTTTATTATATAAATCGACAATAGATTCGAGAAACACATTAAAAATAGAATATTTAAAATAGCATTGTATTCATAATCTGGATCTACATTGAAGATGTTTGAAAGAGTTAAAAGATATATTTATTAATAGTACTTCAAATTTTATCCAAAAAAAAAAACAGTTCTATAGTTATATAATCCAATTATTTTTTACATTTCCCTATTAAAAAAATAAATAGAGAAGAATCGAAAGATGTGTATTTTTTATGGAGTCAATTTTATGTATTCACGTTTTGACTGTGAAGAAAGCGTTAGAAATATGATGTATTCTTCTCGTTTTTAATTACTGCCTATTTGAAAGTAAAAAAAAATGAAGGTAGATTTTTGGTATACGCGCCCACTTAATGAGCAACATTATCCATGAACATGAATTTAACTATCAATGACAACATAAAAGTCATCACATCACATCACTTCATCATTAATGACATTTCCATTAAACTTAGATAACCTACACTTCCGATCTCAGATGGCAACAGGCAACTTTAGATGGCAACAAGGCAATCTTGTATATATTATTTCAACAATAAAACAGATAACCGTCAAAGACAGTCGAATATCATGAGATAAATATATATTTTTAAATATTTATTGTATGATAATTACGTTCATAGGTTATCCATAATCAATATCGGTGTTTATATTATTTATATTGTTTTATATAATATGGATATTGAAATACCTAAATTATGATAACTTATTCGCTCGTGTAAAATAGAAGTGTAAATTTACACCGACACTATTTTATACTATATAGGTCAGCTCTCTAAATCAAACAATGTTAGTGATTATATTGCACTAACTAGACTGCGTTCTAGATTGTGAATAATTAATAAACAGAAGTAAACTTATTATTTTTATCTATACCATACAAGATTACGAATATATTTTCGTTATGTGTTACCTTCATTTGTCTAGAAATAAAAATTAATCCCAAATTAAAATCTGAAGTATTTGGTTTAATTTAGAGAACGGTAGAACGAATCTGCACCAATATAAAGTACCTGGTAGATAAATCTATAAAAATATCTGTTCAGTATCGAGGATGCCTACTCTTCAATTTCACTTTATCATAATGTGTGCCTCATTTTAGTACAATCGGTTTATCAACAAGAATATCGTTGATCATAATCCGTTGCTTAGCTAGCACCCGGATCTTGGGTTCGTGTACTGCTTGCACTTATTTTCAACGTTGCCTCTGCGATAAACTAATAAAGTATCGGTCATTATCTAGTGATTACAGTGTAAGTACATTTCTGTACTTTGAACCGGAATATCAACCGATTCATATCTAAATCAAAATTGATAATTTTACTGTACCTAAATGATTCACCGCTAATTAATATCACTCAGGCCCTTATAGTTAAGTGATTGATTTGTTCTTATTGAGAAATAATATTATATTTGTAAAAATGATTGAAGCTCGTTATACATATATTTAAGCCATTTTATAGGCAATTCATTGATATAATTGCTGAAATATTGG